AGGCGTCGCTTCACGTTAAAACACTGTGCCTGCAGGGAGAAGCGAGTACGCTTTCAAGTCATCTTTGGTCGTCCTGTGTGGCCCCTCTGATGTTCTTTTGAGACTTTCCAGCTAGTGACTACAGGGCCATGCAGCCTGTTTGAAGCTATCTGCAAGAGCGGCGAGCCAATCATACTAGAAAATAGTCAGTTACTGCGAAGGAGGTATAGTCTGCCTCCCAGTTTTTTGCTACCACGATCATCGACGATTACATACATCATTTACATGAAATTCTCGCAGAGAATGTACGTCGAAAGTGAATGCGAAGCAGTCGGAAAAAACTCTCTGTACGCTAGGAAAGAGCTGTTAAGTCACTCTAAACTGTGCCTCGCTAAGACCAGGTTCGACAGAAATCGAAACGCACCTCACTTGATTCATATGCAGCATGTATTGTCAGCACCTCGAAAACTGCGGAAAAGAACATACTATACGCTACAGCAACTAAACTGATTGGCTGATTGAATCTAGCAAACGCTGGGCATAAACACGGTTGATGCCTTCTCAATAAATACGGTGTCATTTGATCGAGCACTCCCAAATGTCGTATTCTTACAATTTCCTGCAAGGAGTGTGACTGAGTACTCAACGAAAGTACTTAACAGTATAGTTTAGCCTATAACACATTAAATTTTATCGCGAAAAGAAAATATTTACATCACAGCGAAAGCTATAATAAAGGTGGAATAAGATTTAACCCACTGAAAAAGCCTCCAATCTGTCACGAAACTGCTGAGAAGAAATATGGCAAACTGGCAAACAAATGCAGAAACTGACAGCTTGAGTCATTCTTTGGATTTACACGGCATTATTTCACGACACTTTTGCTCCTGTATATCAAGGGACCATTTCTACCGGTAACTTCATGGTATTTTAACATCTACAGTGAATGGATGACATGAAATCACGTCTTCCATTTGCTTAGACAAGAATGTGTCCAGCAACATAAGATGTATTAATATTAACGTCTGTTAATCAAAACCTAAAACCAGTCTCGAAATTCTAAAAACAACTTTGACCAAAAAATTATGTAAATGAAGAATTAAAGAATTCACTTTTAGCACGTTCGAAGCGGCAGCACTCTTTAACGTGTTGTCGAACTGAGCTGGTGTTGATTTGTCCTGCTGGGCCGCCAGGACCCCGCGGGATACCAGGTGAGCCAGGAGAGAATGGCAAGGAAGGAGAAGACGGCAGAAACGGTAGCGATGGGAAAAACGGCAAAACTTTCATGCCCATATTTCCAAACTGCATCATTTGCGCGTCAAATGTGCGAGGTCCTCCAGGACCTCCAGGAATGACAGGTAAAATAACTTAAGCGCAGGCGCATCAATCTAATCTCCATTTTAAGGGGTCCAAGGTCTTCGAGGAGCACCAGGCAGAGGAGGATATCGTGGTCAAGATGGAACACCTGGCTTAC